CACATGCCCACGCCGTGCCTCGGTGGCAGTTTCTGATATTCATCTTGTTTGGCAGTCACGGAGCATTTGTGTTGTTGGGTTGGTTTTGAGGTTGCGCCGGTGGTGCTCAGGAGTCACTCCTGGCGGGGCTCGGGTCCATACGGGGTGCTGGGGACCGAACCCAGGCCGGCCCTGAGCAAGGCAGAGGCCCTCCTCGCTGTTCCGTCGCTCTGGCCCTGGAGTGAGCATCTGAATCTAAGCTTATATCCTCGTGCCGTTGGGGAGGTTTCCAGCTGTGTCTCCTCGAGCATCGCCCATCCGCTCTCCCTGCGGGGCCTCTAGGTTCCCTCCAGGACCCCTTAGATAATGTCCCTCGGTCTTAGGCGCTACGCGGTGTCATAAGCTTCTCTTCCATCTCGGGTCTGTCCCGTGGTGCCCATCAAGTGCATTTTCAGAGCTCAGGGACAGTAAATGCTTGAGGTCTAGCCTTTCCAGTTCACATGTTCTCTCTCTTTTGAAGGGCCCACACCAACAATGTTCGAGTGATTCCTGACTCTGCACTCAGGCATCATTCCTGGCGGTGCTCAGGGGACCATATGGGATGCCGGGGATTGAACTGGGGCCGGCCCCGTGCAAGGCAAGCGCCTTCCCCGCTGTCCTATAGCTCCGACTCCAAGGCCCCCTCCGTTTAATGTCTTTGAAAACTATTTTTCTGCCTATCATTGACTCACTTTTTGTTCCAAATATTGTGAGAACAGCAAAGCAGCTTCTTCCTTCTCGCCGGAGACTGTCGCATCGTGCATGCCTGAGGCCACAGCAAGATTTTCTTTCTTTTGGTTTTTGGGGTGGGCAATGCCGGGGGTGCTAGGGAGGGGGTGGGGGGGGCGGCTATGGGATTCCAAGGATCGAACCTGGGTCGGCTGTTCCAAGAAGGCAGACGCCCTCCCCACCGGACTAGGGCCCTGGGCCCCGACCACGCGTCTTGGTCCCCGAATCCTGCCGTGTTCTGGTGGAGCTCTGATGGGCTCTGTCGTATGCCCTGGCGAGTGTGACTGTCTTAGCGACACTCCCTGGGCAGCCCAGATTCAGGCCCTGTCGAGCCTTCACTGGCGTCAGGGGCTTCGGCTGCCAATGGGGGGGAGGGGAGGCGGGGGGGAATAGGGTCCAACCCCCATCCCCGTGACATCCTTTTGGGTTATTCGGTTATTCTCATATTTTCAGCGGGGTCCGCCGAGGCTCCGGGCTCCCAGTTTCCCAGCTGGAAGGACCACAGTTTTCTCGGGAATCGGGGGGACCTACACCACCCTGTGCCCTGCCCCCCACGCCGCCCCCTCGCTGCGGGACTTCTCGGGAACTTGAGCACTGGGTTGACGGATCTCTTACGGCTGCTGCCGGCAGAGAAGTAGCGTTTGTTTGTTGGTTTGGTTTCTGTTCGGGGGCCAAACCTCGCAACGCTCAGAAACGACTCCTGGTGGGGCTGAGGGTCCTGCGTGGTGCCGGAAGTCGAATCCGGATCGGCCGCGGGCAGAGCAAGCATCCGGGTGCTGTGCTGTCACCCCAGAAGAGCATCTCAGACCTTCCCGGCCCCACTTCTCCCTGGAATTCTGTAGCTGGTCCCACTGCAACTAATCAGGCACATAAAATCACTTCCAGGTGCTGGAGCAAAAGTACAGCCAGGAAGGCGCTTGCCTTGCACACAGCTGTACCCGGGTTCGATCCCCGGCATCCCACTGGTCCCCCGAGCACCGCCAGGAGTAATTCCTGAGTGCAAAGCCAGGAGGAACCCCTGAGCATCGCCAGGGTGGTCCATAACAAAAACAAAAATAACTTCAAATACTCCGTTTCCCCTCCCAAATCAAAAACCCTTTGGGCCAGAGGGTGCATTGGGCAGTGCGTTTGCCCTGCTCATGGCTGACCCGGGTTCGACTCACGGCACCCCATGTGGTCGCCTGAGCGCGGCCAGGTGTGGCAAGGAAGGAAATTAGAAACACCCTTGTCGCTGAGACTCTGCTAGAGAATTGCTCTGACGAAAACAAGGGGCCCTTGTAGCTTCTCGTGCTGGGTCTGACGCACTCGAGCGGACACTTGACCACCAAGCCTCGTCCCCAGCTCCCAAAGAGGTTCCACACCGGGTGAACACACGTGAGTGGGATCTAGGCGGGGGCCAGAGCGAGGCGGGGCCTGGGCGATGCACGCGGGCTGCCGGAGCAGCTCGGGAGAGAGTCCCCGTCAGGAAAGAGATTTACATAATTAGGAAGCGTTTGGATTTGAGTTACTGTTAAGTACATAGGAAATTAAACCAATGAAACAATAAACATCAGCAAATGACTTCACTCCGGGGAAGGCAAGCTGCACAGAAGGGAAGCGGGAGTCGCCTCGGTGTGCGGGGCCAGCTGGGGACGGGGCCCAGCGCGGACGCGGGCGGGAGAGACAGGACAGCGGGGCGGGCACTTGCCTGGGCACAGCCGAGGCTTCATCCGAGCACCCATGCCCAGGAGCCCTGAACAGCTCCGCTGCGCGCGGCCCCACAACCCAACGGGGGCGGGGGCGGGGGGCCGGACAGGCCGAGTAGGACACGTTGGTCTGCTGCTGGCCGGCCCCTTGGGGGGCCACAGGGAGAGCAAGGAACCTGCGGGCCTTGCACTCTGACCCGCGTGCGGGGGATGCGCTGGTGCCACCAGGGACTTCGGCGGAAGGAGGGGATGAAGGGAACGGCCATGTGCGCCCGGGTACTCGGCTGCCGGTTTGTGGTGTGTCTCTTGCGGGGTCTGGAGGTGCAGTGCCTGGAGGAAGCCTCCATCGTTGGAGGGCGGGGGGTGGCGTGCCTGGCGTAGGGAGGCTGGGGTGCTGGCACGGACACCCGCCGGAACTGTGGGCACCCCAGCCCCTCCCAGGCCCCGGCAGCCTGTGGTTTGTGTGTGGTCAGGCCGCGGGCAGCAGACTCGAGAGCCGCCCTGCGGTCCACACGGCTCTGGCTGGTCTCGCGTGCTCCCGTGTCCCCGTGGGCCAGGGGCCCACGCGAGCCCGGCTCTGACCTGGGTGCACCCTTTGTTGGGGGACGATCCCCGGGCGGCCCGTGAGAGGTCGAGGGCGGTGGCGGTGGGGGGCAGTGGAAGGGAGGGTCCTCACCTCACACGCCCCGGTCTGGGCGGAAGTGGTCTCCAGCGATAGCGGGTCTCGTGGGTCACCGCCACCTGATGGGCAGCGGGCCCTGCAGAGGCAAGGGTGCGAGGCACAAGGACAGCAGTGGAGCCCCGTCAGGGTGGATGGGAGGCGAGCAGGAGGGCGGCCACTGGCCACTGCACCGTCACTCCAGAGTCTGTGCTGTCCTGTGCCTGGCCCCGCTACCTGGTTGGGGTACAGGCCATCGGCATTTGGGGGCCCAAGAGCAGTGTCCTTGTCGGGAGGGCCAGGGGCATGGACCTGCCCGCAGGGCTGGCAGCAGGACCGCGGGAGGGGACAGCAGCCAGACCGTGCCACCTGCAGCCCAGGGGCGCCCAGCAGCGGTGGCCTTGTGCTGTGGCACAGCGCCCCCGAGTGGCGGGCGCCGGGACTGCGGCACTGAGGCAGCACCTGGTGGAGGTGGCGCCCTCCTCCCCTGCTCCATCTACAGAGGTCACGGCTGGGGTGGACAGGAAGCCGGACTCCGGCCAGCTCCGCCCCCCCACCCCACCCCACCCCACTTCCGTGCGCTGCCGTGTCAGACTTGTCCCCCGGCCTCCTGTCCCCTCCCCTCCCCCGAACCAGGGCCTCTGCTCCTGCCCCAAAGCCTGACTCAACCCGCCCCGGTCGCCGCAGCACCCGTGTGAGCTGAGCCGGCCCTGGGTGCTGAGTGGGCGCTGACCACGGGTGCTAACCACAGTGCTGACCGACCATAGGTACTAAACACAGGTGGTGACCCTGGGTGCTGAGTGGGTGCTGACCATAGGTACTGACCGACCAGGCTGACCGCAGGTGCTGAGTGGGTGCTGACCATGGGTGGTGACCATGGGTTCTGAGTGGGTGCTGACCACGGGTGCTGCCCATGGGTGCTGAGGGGGTGCTGGCCACAGGTGCTGACCTCAGCTGGTGACCCTGAGTGCCGAGTGTGTGCTGGCTGCGGGCGCTGAGTGGGTGCTGGCCACGGGTGCTGAATGGACCATCGTTGGGTGGAGCCAGTGCTGGGCACCCTCAAACTCAGCACTTTTGGGCCACTGGGAGCAGACTGGGCTCTGGCTCCTGGCACTCGGACTGGCCGCTACGCCCGTCACCTCCACCCCTTGGTTCGTTCTGAACTTGGTCATTTGCCAGTGATGTTGGAGAGGAGCAGGAGGGGGCATGGGGCCGAGTGGTCAGATGCCCCGTCCCCCCGCCAGTCCCGCCGGTGTGTCAGCGGGGCCTCTGAGATGAGCAGCGCCCGCCCCGCTCGGAAGAGCCTTCGAGGGAGCAAAATCCCACGCGCTGTGTTGGGGGTCAGGCACCTGGCATGGGGGTCTGTTTTAGGGGTGCCCCCATGCCCAGGTATTGTGTCTGACTAGTGGGGGTTCCGGCTGGTGGCGGGGACGGTGGGGGTCAGGCCCAGCACTTGCTCTGGCCCCCATGCTGGGGTCTCTCTTTCCTCACGGGGGTGGAAGGTGCGAGAAGCCTGGACTGCGTGGGGGGGGAGGCCGCGGCCACTGGCAGCCCCGGGCCCCGCCTCATCCAGCCCGTTGTCTTGGCTCCCGCGGTGGCGGCAGTGGGCGGGCTGCGGGGGCACCTGGGGCCCAGGGCCAAGCCGGCAGCAGGCACGGGAGAGCGCCCAGCCCCGCCAGCTGCCACCACGCCGCCTGTGCCAGGTACAGGCGCCCCGGGGCTCCCGAGGCGGGGGTGGGGGGCTCGGGGGGAGCTGCCCCTGCCCGGGCCGGGCGAGGCGTCCCGGTAAGGGGGAAGGCTCAGCCGTTTCCTCTACCGGGCACAGCCCAGAAGCGCTCCCGAGGCAGCGGGGGTCCCACGGCCCCCCCGTCGGGGCACTCGGGGCTGCGCTGACGGCCTGTCTCCCGCAGGTCAACAGCGAGAATGTGGTGAAGGTCGGCCACCGGCAGGTGGTGACCATGATCCGCCAGGGAGGAAACCACCTCGTCCTCAAGGTGCTCACGGTGACCAGGGCCCTCGACCCCGACGACACCGCCCGGAAGAAAGGTCTCCCCTCCCAGGGCGCGGGTGGGCACTGCACACCGGGGTGGCCCCCATCTCCCGTGGGGGGCCGCGGGGGCTTCCGTGGCACTTCCAGCACCACGGCTTCTCCGGTGCCCCACAGCCCAGAACCTGCACCTGGACCCGGTTAATGCGTAGCAGGGAGGGCTGCCTGGGGGAAGCGCCGTGGGCTCAGGATGGCTGAGACGAGTCTCTAGGGGCCCCTTTGGGGGGCTTCAGGCTCCCACACCAGCTAAGAGGGCAGCTCCCCACGAAGAGGCCGTTGGCACAAGGGGATGTCCCTGCTGTGAAGGGGCTCCCCGCCCTGCGGAGGACCCCCCTCCCCTGGCAGTCGGGCCCACCTCCTCCCGTGACAGCGGGACAGGTGACCTGTCCACGGCCCTCCACGGGGTCCCCGGGGACACGGCCGGCCCCAGCCCCACGGCGGCAGGTCCTCACCGTGGCCTCTTGTCACCCCAGCCCCGCCGCCGCCCAAGCGCGCCCCGACCACGGCCCTCACCCTGCGCTCCAAGTCCATGACGTCAGAGCTAGAGGAGCTCGGTAAGCCTCGCCCGTCCGGCCCGCGCCCGATGCCCCCGCACGGCCCCGCACGCCACCCCCCCGTACCCCCGCATGCCCCTGCATGACCCCGGGAGGGGGGCGGGGCCCTCTACCCTCAGTGTATCTAACATCGGTTTTTGTTTTGAATTTTTGGGCCTCTCACTAGTGGATAAAGGTGAGTCGCCCGGCGGTGCCCTCCAAACAGCTCCACGCTGTTTTGGGCACCTGCAGACGCACTGCGGCTGACTGCGGCTCGGACCCGCGCTGTGGGGGTGGGCAGGGAGCTGGCGGAGCCGGGGTGCGGGGAGGGGAGGGTGGCAGCGGGTGGGCTGGTTGGGGCCTGAGGCGGCCGGTGGGGTGGGGTGGAACGTGGCTCCCTGGAGCGTCTGCGGGGGCCCCGCTGCTCTGGGCGACCTCTCAGCCCCTCCTGGGTATCCTGGGGTCACTTCCGCCTGGCCCGAACCCCCTCCTGCCATGCCTCGTCCCCTCAGAGAACCCCCAAACTCCAGACACCCGCTGCCTCTTGCTCGGATCGCCTCTGGCTCCCGGCGGCGGAGGGGGTGGGGACCCCGGTGGGGAGCTGCAGAACCCCTTGTCCCGGTGGGCAGCGGCCCCCCAGAGCCTGCGGGGTGCCCTGCTGGGCGGGACTCACGCTCCGTCTCTGTTTCCAAGCCTCCGTGCGGAAAAAGAAGGGTAAGGGGCGCCTGGCCGGCCCCACGCCTGTGCCCTCCGCGTCACCCGTACCATCCTGTCTGTCCCGTCCGCGTGCGTCTCCCGTGTGCCAACCCCGCCCCCGTGTCCGCGTCGTTGTGCTGGCGGAGCTGGGGGCCGCTGAGGCTGTCCCAGCGGGGGCCTGCTGTGGGGGTGCAGGCAGGGTGGGGGCCCGGGACCCCCAGGAAGCTCCTAGCCTGCAGGACAGCAGATCCCCACCCACTGCTGTCCGCACCTACCCCGAAGCTCCTTCCCCAGGCTGGGGGGGCCCCACTCCCTCCCAGAGCCCCAGAACTGAAGCGTGGAGTCGGGCAGACCCCAGAGTCCAGAGGCAGGGCCTGGGGTCCGGGCCGCAACGTCCTGGGGTGTTCCTAGTGGCCCCCAGGGTGACCTTCAATCCAGGGCCACCCCTGCTGGCGGGAAGACCCCCGGCCACCTACCCCCACGGCTCCTCTAACCTGATCCCTGCTGGCCTGTGGTGGAAGGTGGGCGCCCGGCCCACGGACAAGCGCAGGACCCCCTTCCCCTGGGCATGGGAGAAACGGGACCCAGCTGAGGGCACTGGTCCCCCAGGTCCCCTGAACCCCACTGCACGCCTCCGGGAGCTGCAGTAGGCCCGGGCGGGAGGTGCTGGTGCCCGTCGATTCTCCAGAACAGCATCTCTGGTGCCCTGGGGACCAGCCCGGCCGAGGACTGGGAGGGTCAGAAGTCGGCAGCCCAGCCTGGGCAGGTGATGTGATGAGACACCAGTGGCCGCAGGCCTGGCACTGAGACCCCCAAGTTTTCAGCTCCCCTCTGAAGCTGTCCTGTGGCCTGGGGTCCCGGGGACCCCACCCATCCCCCAACACATGCACCACGCCAGTGTCCCCCCGCTGAGCACAGCCAAGACCAGCTGTGTGGTCTCTGTCTACACTTGAGGGTCCTGTGCAGGGGAGTCCCCGGGACCCCCGAGCCAGGCCAGCCACCAGCTCCAGTCACGGAGGGAACGAGGAGTGGCAGGAGGCGCTTCCGGAGGGAGCCGTGGCCTCCCGGACTGCCCAGCTCGCAGGGGAGGGCGCACACCCCGAGAAGGTTCCGGTGGAGCCAGGGAGCCTGGCTGCCCCAGCCTGTGCCCACAGAGGGGCACACGGGCACCTGCCACCTCCCCCAGCCCCGGGCCGATGGTGCCCCAGGCGCCTTGCCCTACCCTGCCTCCGGCCGGCATTGGGACGTCGGCACCCGGGATGGGTCAGCTTCTGGCTCAGCAGCTGTCCCAGCTGGCCACAGAGCGCGGGCTGGACCTGTAGTCCTGCCCCCTGGGCTGATGCGCAAGCCCACATCCGGCTCACATGTGCCCAGTCATCGGGGGTCACCCAGCAGCCACAACCAGCTCACTGCGGGATCCTCCCACCACGACAGCCAGGGTGTCACCTTGCGAGGAGACAGAGCGGCCAACCCACTTCATGGGGGGCAGAGATCCGGGGCCCCCACTTCCTTGTGGTCGGATGGTCACAGGGACAGAGCCCAGGCGTGGGGCTCTGCTGGGTGTCTGTAGGGAACAGCCCGCACCCCAGAACATCAGGGCCCCGTGTGTGCCACCACGCACACCCCCCTCTGTGGAAGGGGTCTGGACGGGTGCCCCCGGCTTGCAGGGGCCAGTCCTGAGGCCGTTCCTGTGGGGACCATCATCCTGAGTGTGGAGGCCCCAGACCTGGGCCTTTCCCGTGACACAAGCTTCCTGGGGGTCAGGAGGTCAGGCACAGAATGTTCGGGGGTGGGGGGGGGCAGGCAGTGTGTGTCTTTGTGTTGCAAGGTGGGACCCCCCCCCCCGGGGCACACCTCAGGCTCCCACCTTGCTGAGGGCACAGGGCACTTGTCCAGCCCATGGCCCCGTGCCCGCTCCCTGCATTTGAACTTCTGTTCCACACAGACCCCCAGACTGCTGGTGTCTGGCCGGGCCGCAGAGAAAGCCCCGCCCACCGCTGGGGGGAGAGGGGGGCGGGGGTGAGTGTAAGAGTGAGTGTGTATCTGAACGTGGGGTGAGACTGTGTGTGTGTGTGTGTGTGAATGTTAATATAAGAGGGTGAGTGTGGGTGTGTGAGAGTGTGCATGTAATTGTGTGTGCGCGAGACTGTGTGTGTGAAAGGGAATGCGAGAACAGTGTGAGCGGGCGAGTGTGGGTGTGCGTATGTGAATGTGTGTGAGTCTGTGTGTACATGAAAATGAGTATAGTGTGTGTGTGTGAGAATGTGTGTGTGAGACTGAGTGTGTGAAAGAGTGAATGTGAGAGTATAGTGTGAGGGTGTGAGTGTGTGTTTGAGACTGTGAGAATGAACGTGAGTATAGTGTGAGAGTATGTGAGAGGGTCAGTGTGTAAGTGTGTTGTATGTGAGAGCGTGTGTACAAGGTTGTGTGAGCACATCAGTGAGAGTGTGAGGATACGTGTGTGAACGTGTCGGTGCGTGTCTGGTGAGCGTGCTGCATTTTGGGGAGCTCGGGCCCGCCGGCCTTCCCATCCCCCGTGGCCCTGGCCACAGGCCGGCGTGACCGGTGAGACGTGGAGGCGCCCATGCTGTGGCCTGACCACGTGTCCGCCCTGCAGATAAGCCCGAGGACGTGGTTCCGGCGTCCAGGGTGGCCCGGAGCACAGAGAGCACGGAGCCCAGGGTGGCCACCATCCGGCAGCGGCCCAGCAGCCGGTGCTTCCCGCCCGTCTCGGACATGAACGTGAGTGGCCGTGGGGCTGCCCGAGAGCTCCGGGGTCGCCGTGCCGCAGGAGGGGCCCCTCAGACCGCCCGCGGGCCGCGTGGCATGGGGAGGGGGGCCACGCTCTGGGGCGGCGTCTCATCAGCCCCCCCCCCCCGGCCCCCAGTCTGTGTACGAGCGCCAGGGGATCGCCGTGATGACGCCCACCGTCCCTGGGAGCCCGAAGGGCCCGTTTCTGGGCCTCCCCCGAGGTACGATGCGAAGGCAGAAATCAATAGGTAAGAAGCGCCCCCACCCACGAGCTTGCCCCCTGCCCCAGCCGCTGCCTCCGGGAGTGGGGGGACACAAGGCCGGGTGGGGCCCCGCGACCGCACCAGCTCGACCGACCGAGCCAGCAGCGGGGGCCGGGGGCGCCTTCCCGGGCCCCCGTCCCAGCCGCGCTGTGGGAAGCGCGTCCCCTGCTCGTGCGCGCCAGCCCCTGCGGACTGTCGCTGCCCACTGTCCCCGGAGATCAGCCGCGTGTGCTTCTGCCGCTGGCGCGCTCGAGGGGACTGCGCGGGCTCCGACCACGGGTCGGGACGGCCTGGCTGGGTCGCCGTGGCGCCACCAAGAGGCCCTGACCGACCCGCTCGTTTCCTCCCGCCAGACAGCAGACTCTTTCTCTCAGGTCAGTCAGTGCCCTCGGACCCCTGCAGCCCGCATGCCCGCGCCCCGCTTCCGCCCCCGCCCCAGTGCGTCCTGTTGACCGTCGGGACTTCCTTGACGACTGTCGGGATGTCCCTGACGTCGCACCCCGTCACCCGGGGTTGCTTCCTGCTCTCGCGCCCGCCCACGGCAGGCTCGCGTGGGTCACTCCTGCGCGTCTCTGTAAATCAGCCTCACCCCAGTGTCCCACCGACGCCAGGGACACGAGGCAGCTCCACACCTGGCCCTCACAGAGGGCGCCTCAGCAGCACGCACTGCACCTATCTCCTCCCCGTCCTCCTCCCCTCCTTCTCCTCCTTCCTCCCATCCGTCCTTCTCCCTGCCCTCCCTTCCCACCTCTCCCTCAGCCCTGACCACCCCTTCCCACCCTCCCTCTCCACCCTCCTCCCAATCTCCTCTCTCTGCCTTCCTCCCCCCCATCCTCCGTCCTCCCCCTCCGTCCTCCCCGTCCTTCCTTCCCCGCCCCTGGCATGTGCACATCTGTGCAGGGTTGTTGGGGGGGGGGGGCCAGTATCGGCCCGGCCAGCCCCGTGGGCCAGCACTGACCCTGTCCTCCGCCTGGCAGGGATCACAGAGGAAGAGCGGCAGTTCCTGGCACCCCCGATGCTCAAGTTCACCAGGAGCCTGTCCATGCCCGACACCTCGGAGGACATCCCCCCGCCGCCGCAGTCAGTGCCCCCGTCCCCGCCGCCCCCGTCCCCCACCGCCTACAACTGCCCCAAGTCCCCCACGCCCCGGGTCTACGGGACCATCAAGCCGGCCTTCAGCCCCAACCCCGCCAAGGTGGCGCCCACGGTGCGCGCCGACACGGTGGCCTCGGCGATGCGGGACAAGGGGCTGTACCTCCGCCGCGAGCTGGACCAGCGCTACTCGCTGGACTCGGAGGACCTGTACAGCCGCGCGGCCGCGCAGGCCAACTTCCGCCACAAGCGCGGCCAGATGCCCGAGAACCCCTACTCGGAGGTGGGCCGCATCGCCAGCAAGGCGGTGTACGTGCCCGCCAAGCCAGCGCGGCGGAAGGGCATGCTGGTGAAGCAGTCCAACGTGGAGGACAGCCCCGAGAAGACGTGCTCCATCGCCATCCCCACCATCATCGTCAAGGAGCCGTCCACCAGCAGCAGCGGCAAGAGCAGCCGCGGCAGCAGCGTGGAGGCCGAGCCGCCCGGCGACAGCCTCACGGTCAGCAGCCCGTTTGCCGCGGCCATCGCCGGCGCCGTGCGGGACCGGGAGAAGCGGCTGGAGGCCCGCAGGAACTCGCCGGCCTTCCTGTCCACCGACCTGGGCGACGAGGACGTGGGCCTGGGGCCGCCCGGCCCCCAGGCGCGGCCCGGCGCCTTCCCCGACGAGGGCGGGTTCAGCGAGGACGAAGACGGCGCCGAGCCGCCGTCCCCCCCGGCCGGGCTCCCGGCCAGGGCGCCCGAGAACCATTTCGCGGGGGCCGTTGTCGAGGCCGGCGCTCAGGGCGAGGCCGCCAGGCCGCAGAACTCCACAGCCAAAGCCAAGGGGCCCGAGGGCAGCCCCCTGGGGAGCCCCGAGAATTACGTGCACCCGCTCACTGGGAGGCTGCTGGACCCCAGCTCCCCGCTGGCCTTAGCGCTGTCCGCGAGGGACCGAGCCATAAAGGAGGCCCAGCAGGGCCCCAAGGGGGAGGCCCCCAAGGCCGACCTCCACCAGCCCCTCTACATCGATACCAAAATGCGGCCCAGCCCGGAAGCGGCCTTCCCCGCGGTCACCCGGCAGAACACGCGGGGGCCCCTGCGGCGGCAGGAGACCGAGAACAAGTACGAGACGGACCTGAAGGAGCGGAAGGGCGACGACCGGAAAAACATGCTCATCGACATCGTGGACACGTCCCAGCAGAAGTCGGCCGGCCTGCTGATGGTGCACACGGTGGACGCCAAGCCGGACGCCTTCCTGGAGGAAGAAGACGAGAAGGCCGATGAGGACACGGAGCCCGTCCCCTCGCTGCCCGAGGCGCCCGAGGGCACCCCCGACACCGAAGGTGCTTTACAGATCTCCGCAGGCCCCGAGCCCGCCGGCCCCGCCGCCCCGCCCGGCAGAACCATCGTGACGGCGGGCTCCGTGGAGGAGGCGGTGATTCTGCCATTCCGCATCCCCCCGCCCCCGCTGGCGTCCGTGGACCTGGACGAAGATTTTATTTTTACAGAGCCATTGCCTCCTCCCCTGGAATTTGCAAATAGTTTTGATATCCCTGACGACCGCGTCGCCTCTGTCCCCGCCGCCGCACCCCCAGACGTGGGCAAGCCGAAGCAAGGCGGCGTCTCCCCGGCCCCCTCGCTGCACTCGGGCCAACCCACCACCTCGGCCGACGCCAAGAAGCCAGCCAGCCTCTCCAACTGTCTGCCCGCCTCCTTCCTGCCGCCGCCCGAGAGCTTTGACGCCGTCACGGACTCTGGGATCGAGGAGGCGGACAGCCGGAGCAGCAGCGACCACCACCTCGAGACCACCAGCACCGTGTCCACCGTGTCCAGCCTCTCCACGCTGTCCTCCGAGGGCGGGGAGTCCGTGGACACCTGCACCGTCTATGCAGACGGCCAAGCCTTCCTGGTGGACAAGCCCCCGGTCCCCCCGAAGCCAAAACTCAAGCCCCTCATCCCCAAGACCAACGCCCTCCACCAGGACGCGCTCCTGGAAGAGGACGTGGAGGGCTTCGTCCTGGCCCCGCCGCCCGTGCCCCCGCCCCCGCCCGGGGCTGCCCAGGGCACGGCCAAGGCCCTCCCGGCCCGGCCCTCCAAGCTGTGGGGAGACGCCCCGGAAGTCAAGAGCCCGATTCTTTCCGGCCCCAAGGCCAACGTCATTAGCGAATTGAATTCCATCCTGCAGCAGATGAATCGAGAGAAGACGGCCAAGCCAGGGGAAGGACTGGACATGCCGGCCGGAGCCAAGGCTGCCAGCCTCACGCCAAGGTAAGTCCGCCGACAGAGACCCGGACTCCCGGCTCGGGCCGGGCTGCCAGGCCGGGCGCCCGCCCACAAACTCGCCAGGAGCCACTCGTGCTGGCTTCACGGCACTCGCCCCCCCCACACCCTCGCAGCTTTGCCGGGACCACCTCGAGCATCGCCAGCCGGCCGCACCCCCAACCTGGGTGGGTGGACAGCATGTGGGCGCGTGGGAGGCGCACAGGTGTGTGGAAAGCCGGGCAGCACGCCTAGCAGGCACGAGGCCGTGCTGCGTGGGAGCAGCCGGGAGGGAGGACAGCCGCCTAGGTCTTATCTCCTGCCACGCCCCAGGCCCAGCGTCCCCTGGAGGAACGCCCCAGGGCCCCCCAGAAGGCCCCCATCTCCTCCTGCCCTTTGGTCCTGTGAGTGGCCTGAGCCGCTTCCGGTCCCCCCTTGGGCTCTGAGACCCACTGTGGGCCCTGGAGAGTGCCAGGCCGCGGGGGCGGGCACCAGGCTCCAAAGTTCTGCCTGGAGGCGTCTCTCTGCGTGCACCCCCACTGCCAGCCCGTGCATGAGCCCTGCACCCGAACTGGGACTTCTCAGGGGAGCGGCTAGCAGCCCAGGGCCCCAAGGCTGATCCCAGGATCACGGAAGTCCCCAGCCCCCAAACGCGCTCTGATAGGGGGCTCGGCTGACCGTGACCTGTGGCACGGAGCGGGCAGGCCACAGGACTGATACTGACACATCACAGAAGCCACCTCAGCTGGCCGGCAGGGCTCGGGGTCCCAGCTCTCGGCTCAGTCTGGAAGACGCCAGGGGCCTCCCAAGACCCTTCCCACTGGAGGAGCTGGGGGTGGGGTCCGGGTTGCCTGCAGGCTCCAGGGCTTCCTGCGAGCAGCAGCCCCTGAGGCAGGCAGGGCCGGGGGCTTCAGGGGTACATCCTGCCGGGCCAGGGCAGGCAGGCACCGAGCCTGGCTCACTGCTCCCAGGCTGAGGCTGCAGTGCTTAGCGGGGCTAAGACAGCCCGAGACCCAGAGACTGCGCGGCGCAGGCACCCTCGGGCACCGTCTGCCAACGCTCGGGCGGGACCTGCCCCTTAGGGAATAGAACAGCAGGTTGAGAGAAGTGGACGGCCGCATCCTTGCCCACAGGACGCCAGAGCCAGCGTCCGCCACTACCCGCTGGGCCCTGGGCAGGGAGCGAGGACATGCCACGGCTTCGCAGCACAGTGGCAGCAGGTGTCCGGGCAGAGGCGGCCCGCGGAGTGAGCGTCAGGGGCAAGACCCTGTGTCCTCACGTGCATGGCCCACACACACCCGCACGTAGGGCCAGGCCCAGGGGCCATGTGGTGGAGGAAGACTCCAGCGTCCCCTCTACGTGGGGACTTGCCTCTCCCGGCTCCAACCCAGGGCGGCTCCCTGGAGGCCGGGAAGGGATGGGCCAAAGTCAAGATGAAACTGCTAGAAGCGAACAACTGGGACCCAGGCAGGAGCCAAGGGACAGTGGCGGCTGAGGCCCATCCCGCCGTGCCCGCGAGGGGCTTGTGCATGCAGGGAAAGCAGGAGCCCGGCTCAGTCTTCAGTCTGACCTTGACCTGACCTCCTGCCACAGCTGCAGGGGACAAACACCTGGGGACCCAGCCAGCCTGGCATGCCTGGGCGCAGCAAGCTCTGTGGACAGCAGAGTCCTCTCGGGCACAAAGAATGAACAGAGGGGCCGGTGCACAGCACCGTGGGGAGGGCGTCTGCCGCCATCCCGTGTGGCCCCCAAACAACACAGGACACAGCAGCGAGTGGCCAGGCGGGGCGCCCTATGCCCTCTGCTGGAATCCCGGCCTCTGCTTCTGGGGCAGGCGTTAGCCTCTCGCTGTGTCGCCAGTCCGGTGCCTCCAGGTTCTGAGAGCCACGAGAGCTAAATACCAGCTGGGCCCCAGGGCTGGTCATGGAACGGCACCGTCCACACCATGACCCAGGGCTGAAGGACGCCGCCCCAGCACTGAGCATGAGCGCATGCGTGCGTGATGCCAGAGGGCTGGTGCCAGCTGGGCTGTCACGTGAGCCCGGCTTGGCCAACGATACGGCCCTGGTGGGGCCCTGCTCACGTTCCAGAACTGGCTGTATCAGGTGTCCGTGTCCCCCTACGCTGCCATCACCCTGAGCCAGACACAACTTCCTATTCGGGGGGGAGTCCCGGAGAGGGGAACCCTGGAGCAGTAGTGAATAACAGTGTGGTCTGTAGGGACCCCCACATCTCCCGAGTCACTGCCTCCCACTTGGCAGCACGTAGGGCATCCCTTTGGGGAGCCACACCTGGCAGTGCCAGGGGTGACTTTTGGTGGACCAGGGGACCACCTGAGATGCTGATGGAAGCAGAGTCAGGTGTGTGCAAGGCAGGCACCCTCCCCAGAGTACAGCAAGGCACCGCACCTCGCAGCAAAGAGGATGCAAGGAGGTATGAGGGGGCATGCCAAGGGGACCCCCCACGGAAGTGGTGGCGGAGCCCTGGCTGGAAGGACAGTAAGCCCACCTTACCACGGCCCGCAGCTCACATGGCACTCTGCTCTGGGGCAGAAATGATGCTGTGGGTGGTGCACCCTGGCCCCACCAACCGCTGGGACCACCTCATCTGGGCCTTAAACTTAAGGTTTTCACAGGACTCGGCTTCAGGGGTGCTGGAGTGGGTGCACTTGGGCTCGGAGACAGCACCCGGCAGGGTGTAGATGAGCTGAGGTGTGGGTTCCAGAGGGGAACAAAACTGGCTGGTCGGCACCCCCAACATGAGCCGCTGGGTGCAGTGCTGAGGCTGATTCTGATGCTCCCAGAATCCTGCACTTGCCTCCCGGCTGCAGGGCAGAGGGCAGAGCCGTGGGGTCCGCACCCCCAGAGAAGCGCAGAGTCCAGAGCGCCACCTGGGCCGCCTGACGGGTCTGTGGGTGGCTGTCATCGCACCGAGCCACGGAAGCTGCTGCTGGTTCCCACAGTGTCCCCGCGGCGCTGGCTCGCTCTGACTGTTCTGTCCTTTTCATTTGCTCCCGACGGTGCCCGCAGGAGAGGGTCGTGCTGAGCGGAAGTAAGTGCCGCGTGCAGAAGTGCTGCTCTCTGCGTGCTGCTCTCTCCTCTCCCGCCGCCGTTCAGGGACTCTGAACAGCGAAAGCCTGGGCTCAGGGGCTTTCCAGGGAGGGAGGTCCCCAGCTGTCCCCAGGTTCCAGGGGGTGCTGCGGCTCTGGCATGTGGAAGCCGCCCGAGTCAGGCAGGGCAATGTCTAGAGATGAGTACCAGTCTCTGTAGCCCCCGAGCCGGGCTCCCCCAGGGGCGTCACACTCCGTAGGTCACCCCAACCCTTTAGCATCAGTGAAGGGGAACGAAGAGCCTATCCCAGGAGCCGTGCCCTGGGGGTGGACCAGAGCTGTGGCCCAGGCAGGAGCTGGCCTCCCAGTCCCCTCCGGCCCGGAACGGGCAGCTTCTTCGTCCTCACGCTGTTCCCAGCCGGGCTGACGGGGCTCCGGGTGAGAGCCCCCCCTTTCCTAGGAGACCCCAGGACTGGCCCTGGAAAGCCTGCTCCTTTGCGGATTCCCACTCAGCATCGCCCGCCCACCCCACTCCCCCTGCAGACTTGCTGCCCCTTCCTCCCATGGAATATTCCAGACTTGCAGGAGCTATGACTCATACCAAGCAGGGGACCGTCACGAGGCTGAGAGGCACCTAGGTAACCGACTGGCGCGGCAGGCCAGACGGGCCCACTCCCGCACGCCGGCAAGCCTGAGGTGGGCAGAGCGGCCCTGCCCTCGCGGGGCATCGGACGCCTGGCTGCCCACGGCCACGGCCTCGGTCGCGATCCAGGGAGGGATGTCTGGTGGGACAGAGACTTCCAGAGGCACGTGGGCCTGCCGCGCTGGTCGCTAAGAACCCAAAAGAGACACAGGTCTTCCGGCCTCCTCCCGAGCTGGCAGGACCAGCTGGGGAGCAGTCTCCCCAGAGCCCCGGGGGCATGGCCACAGCTGCTGGGCTGACTTCTGCTGCCTCCGTGGGGGCAGCAAAACAAGACCCCCTGTGCCCCAGCCGGCAGCACCCCCAACACAGGCTTGCCAGGGGTTCCTGCCCCAGGGACACGAGGAGGTCTCTCCTGCGCAGGACTGCGGGGGGCTCTTCCAGGGTTCCAGGTGCACTGTGCCCAGCTCTCCGCTGCGCTTGCTGTGTCCCCGCCCCCGCCTCTGGCCGCCTGTGTGGTTTGTCGTGTGCCTCCTGGCCAGGCGGCGGGCGGCCGTGCGAGCCAGCTCGTGACTTGTCTCCTCTGCTGTTGCCGTTTCAGAAGCCCAGAGGTCGTGAGCAGCGTCTCAGGTACACGGAGCACGACGGTCACCTTCACGGTTCGCCCAGGGACCTCCCAGCCCATCACCCTGCAGAGCCGGCCCCCCGACTATGAAAGTAGGACCTCAGGAACCAGACGTGCCCCGAGCCCGGTGGCCTCGCCCCCGGAGATGAACACGGAGCCCCTGGCGGCCCCTCTGTGCGCCGTGTCCCCTGCCCCCAGCCTCGCCGACGTCTTCAGCCTCCCGAGCCAGGCGCCGGCCGGGGACCTATTCGGCTTGAGCCCCGCGGGTCGCAGCCGGTCCCCGTCCCCCTCCGTCCTGCAGCAGCCGGTCCCCAACAAGCCCTTCAGCACCAAGCCCGTGCACCTGTGGACTAAGCCCGACGTGGCCGACTGGCTGGAGAGCCTGAACCTGGGGGAGCACAAAGAGGCCTTCATGGACAATGAGATCGACGGCAGCCACCTCCCCAACCTGCAGAAGGAGGACCTCATCGACCTGGGCGTGACGCGCGTCGGCCACAGGATGAACATAGAAAGGGCTCTCAAGCAGCTGCTGGACAGATAAGAGTGGCTGCGCCCCCCCCCCACCCCACCCCCCGTTATAAGTAGAGATGGGCTGACCCGAACCGTCGAGGGCGGGGAGAGCCGGGAGAGTCCGCCCAGGCCCCGGGGGGGGCCTCCTGGCAGTGCCACGCAGAGCCCGGGGGCCGCATAGGGAGGAATGCCGGGCGTTGGTGCGGCTCACGGGACCTCCCTTGCCCGGGTCCGAACCCTGCCCTGGGGCCCCCTCCCCCATACCAGGCCCTCACGCACATTTGCCTTTTCTTCCCTGTGCTTTGCCGGCTGAGTTGCCCCCCCAAATGCATGTGTTTGGTGCCCTTTCTTGGGCCCAAGAGGTGGAGAACCCCCGTTTGCTGTCGGTCCTTGGCCCCGTCTCCTCCCGCGATGGCCGTCCAGGCCCCCCGGCCGGGGCTTTTCGCGGTGGTAGGAGTCTGAGCGGGACCAAGCCCGGCTCTGCCCATCTCTAAGCAGCATTCCACAGTGGCCGCAGGGCTGGCACGCGGAGCTTAGTCAGAGCAGTCACCATGCCGAGGGCCACCCTGGCCTGGGGAGCAGCCAGCTTACAGAGTCACCGGGACACGGCGCGGCGTCTGCTGGGGTGTCCGACCAGGGCTGGGGGCAGGGACGCTGCCTCTCAGACTTGGCTTACGTGGAAAGGGTTGACTCGCGCAAAGAGCAGTGCAGGCGGCAGTCACGGGACACCAGGGATGAGGTACAAGGTCACGGGCGCGCCTGTGGCCTGAGCGGAGTGAGCGACGCTGAGGCCAGACGAGACGGTCACTGTCCGCTGGCTCCCTCCCCCGGAGGGCCAGGAATGCCACCCGCTTGTCTCAACGGCACCACAGCCAGCCAGGAGGGGGACTGTGGGTGCGGGCACTGAAGGCAGAGGGGGCCTCACTGAGTCCTGGTCCCCATCTGCACAGGGCAGCCGAACATCCCAGCCAGGCTTCCAGCACATTCTCCCACCGTTGAAGGCAACTCAAATGTCAGAATTTTGGCTTTCATTACAATCTCAGAGCAAGCCTAGCCCATCTCTAATTATAAGAACATGATTTTTCTCCCTCCTCTGTTTCCTTTATGCTCACAATCAAGTGTCTGATTAGGTCTGGACAGTTCTAGAATGAACACGTAAAATTTAGCAATTTAAATTCTTTCTTTACTGCAAGTTTAAATAGTTGTACAGATAGTTTATAAGCACAATATTTTAAGAAAAAAAAAACAGTGGCTGGTCTACTAGGCAGCCTTTGTGCCACTTCAGTGCTAGAAAGTTAAAGAAAAAAAAAACTTTTGTGATTTAATAACACTATTTCTGTGGAATAATTATACAAGTCTGACCTTTTTAAATCCTCCCCATTTGGATGCACCTGACCAGCAGAGCTGGGTTACCTTTTCTATCTTTGCTAGAACTTCATCGAGGACAATGATTTCTTCAAAAAGTTACAATTCACAATGCAGCAGTTTCTATACACACACACATGCACACACACACACAGAGTTTTTCCAGCCAGGCCCCTGAATGGTAGTTTTGGTCCCAAACCTTTGGCAAGCCCTTCCTCCTGCCGGCGGGGGATCCGGTCCAGCCTGAAGTCAACTGAGCGCGTTCCAGTGCCCACGCTCACTTCTCCCGTCCCGTGACAAACGGCTCTCGCATTAGACCAGTCCCTGGCTGGGACTCGCTGGTGGCCTGCTGAGGTGGCTCTGACACATCAACAAATGCTCAGCTTTGTCTTCCGCTCGGTGGAAGCGCAAGGTCACTAGGTACACGCCTCGCCTGGCTCTCTTCCTCTGCCTCTGCTGGCATCGCCCCGCCGCTGAGTGCCAGGCAAGCTGCTCGCGAGAGGAAGGTGCGCGCAGGCTGAGCAGCTGGGTGGCTTCAGGCCTGACAGCCGAGGTAGCTGGTTGGCGGGAGCTGGCCGTTCCGCCCCTCCCTGGAGTCTTCAAGCCATCCGCCACTGATCAGAACAGGCCCCTGAAGGCGCGAGAGCCGCTGACATCGCTTTTCCTGACAGTGTCGCCTTCGAGGAGAGCACGCGGCCCCCGGCTGCACTGCCCGCCCGCACGGGCCAGCCACGGTGGCTTCCGGCTCTCCCCGAGGACTCTGTTCAGAAAGCAATAGTTCCTCATTCAATCACCATCCACTGTTCTCCCCTTTGGGACGCGTTAGGACCAGGCCCTATTCTGTGACCCTCTTCGATGGTGGAACAAATGTTAAACTGCTTATATCAAGATCATGTTAATACTATGCCAGATTTTAAGATCCACTTTTGTTATATACTGTAATTTAAATAAACTGCATTTACATGCCTAGTTTCTGTACTATTGTGTATACAAAACCAAAATCTCTCAAGCTGTAAATTCTGTATACCTGCCAAGACACCTTCCCCAGGGTGTCTGTGCACACTTTGAGTTAATTCACACACTACACAAATGACTCAATGTGACTGTTGATTTGCTGAACTTTACAGATCACAAAGTGATTTATTTGTGGTACTTCAGTTAATAAAATGGTGATTTTTTTCCCCCTGAGTTACTGGGCAAGCAGGCATTATCCAGGCGATCTGGCAACGGCTTTTTGTGTGGGGGCCACAATTATTGATTTTTCTTCCATGAACAAATTTTTTTTTGTTTTTTTAGATACTGAGACATTTTCACACTACAGTTTGTGTAACTCATTCGCATTATCTATGTTGCTGTTACTTTTGTGCTTTTATTCTTTTCAGACTTTATTAAAAAACAAAACAAAAAAAAAACAAGCTCCTGTAATTTGCACTTTCTCCCAATCCTTAAATCTCTTGTATGGCAACCAAAATTACTGTAAAAAAATAAATATACTATTGCACTAAGGTTGTGGTTCTGATTGCAAACAGTGAAAACTGTCTGAATTGAAAAAGTTGCCAAACTTGAAATCCGACATAGGTGATGGGTCCATCACAGCCAGCTTTACCTCTATAGAACTGACCAGATAATATCTTCCATCAGTGTAGATTCTCCTTCTGTTGCACTCATCTCCTGGCTTCAGGCCCCACGGCACTCTTGAAGTACAGACGGACACTGTGGACAGGCAGCATCACCAAGCACGCAGCCCTGTCCAGGGATGGAAGTGGGGGGGACTAACTGGGGGTGGGGGGAGTGCTGGACCCAGGTCCGGAGCTTTCTTCTCAGAGAACAGGTCTCCCCCACATCCTTTGGTCATCTTGCCATGGGGTTGCAGAACGGGATGGCTTCTGGCTGACGTCAAGCCCACAGCACTTGGGTGAGCGAGCACCCATGAAAGCCTAGGGAAAGGACTGTGTCTTTCAGCAAAGCACGGAGCTGGGGAGACAGACTGTCACTGTTCCTTCCGCTCTAGGAAGCAGCTTTTCCCTTCCACACAGAACCTCCTCTTTGGCCTCATCGGTGAGAATCTGTCTTGAGTTCCTGAACCCTTTCTTCTGTTCTGGCACATTCTCCAACTGAAGAGCAACACCCTGGGTCTGAGCTTATGAACGTTTCCCCTCACACCCTCTGTGGCTCATCCTCAAGTGCTCCTGCCTTTTAGTCCAACGGTTCCTCCCGGGCCTACCTTCATGGCCTGAGACCCTACCTTCACGGCCCAATGTTCTCTCCTAGATGAATATGTCTGTCTGTCTTGGTTAAGAAAACATGATGGAAGACTTCTTGTACTTTGCTTTCTTTGAGGCAGCAGAATAACCAGAGAGCTGGAATGTCATTCTGTGTGTGCGGATCCACGTACACATGCGAACAGGTCATAAGGGCCGTGGTGACAGTATCACTACGGCTGCCTGCGGCACCCATACTCTGTAGGGACTCGGGGAATTTCCAAAGTGCGTCACAGACTGCAGCAGATCTGACCGCATCGATGTTCCGTCTGCACTGTATCAGTGACTGTCTTTACTGTCCTCCTGTAACACGGTTCTACGGCCCATGTCCTTACCGTTTTATGTTTCAACTTGTGACACTCACTGTCCCTTGCTATTACTCTGAAACTGTTTATAGCAATTCTGAGACTTTAATACAAGCCTTCAAATAAATTCAGAAAATATTTTAAAAAAGGAAAAAATTAAGTGTGTGCCTTGGGTGTTTTGAACCTGATCTGCATAAAACCATATTGTACTCAAATGCTGTGTTATTTCATAAAAGGATAATCTATCTTTAATGTATTCATGTAGCTGGTAACATAGTTATAGTGCCTTGTTTTCTGACTGAGAAGCCCATACCAATCGATGCACAGCGTACAGTTCAACAGTTCGAGAATGGAATGTTGACGAGACCTAGACGTGCGCTGGAGCCTCTCATCCTCAGGCTGTGGCTACACACAGTCATTTAAAGTAAAAAATAAAAATAAAGTTGAAGTAATGCTGTGTTATCAATTAATTCTCCATTAAGAGTGCCTCTCTCCTAGATCACTTGCAGTATTTTCCGTGAGTTCAAATACAAATCACATCTGAGAACTTCCGTGGCCAGCAGGAAGGTCAGACCTGGAGAGGGGTGCTGGGCTTCCTGGTCTCCTTCCCTTGCCTAGACTGACCCCTGGTGGTCACAGCTGGCAATGCGCATCGGGGCAGCCGCAGCCAGCTCACGTTTTGTTAGGAATGAACGGCATTTGTGCTGAGATTGAGGCTGCTCCTGACAGAAAGGCATTTCTATCTTTCATCGCTTAAAGTAGAAGCACTAGTCTGTTTTAAAAGAAGGAGGTCTGCCATTCTCACAAAAACTGAAGTCGTCTCTCATCAAGCTGCAGGTGCAGGAAATTAAACGCAGAGCTTCTGCGAGCAGCCGCCAGCGTCTTAGGCGAGAGCCTGGGCTGGAGTCACCGCCCTCGGGGACTAGGATCCTCAGTGCAGTCGGAGGCATGTGCGGGCTGGTTCACAGAGCAGAGCACCCCATCCACACTCGCAGCTGTTAATGCCCAGAGCAGAGTAGGCACCCCTGCCAACTCCACTGGCTCACCCTGAGCTTTTCCGGCCCCTTATCTCCAGGTGAGGAGCCGGGTGCCATCCAAGACCTCACAGGACAGTCTCCAGCACTGCACTCGCCGGAGCGGACACCCAGGCCTTCTAGAGG